ATAAGCTACATTCACTAATTTTCAAAAACAGATACATAAAGAGGCAGATTCTTCATTTGCAAAAAATAATAGGCTCCTTTGTTTTGAAAAATCGATGTTAGAATAATCAGAAAATATTTTTGGCATATCTTGTTAAATCGAGATGAAGCATGCAATAAAATAGAAGTGGCAGCATGATATAAACACTCATAATATTATTTGACATTATCATTAATGATTGGGCATATTACTGTTGTAACAGTCATGAAAAGAATCCTTAAAGCAATCATAATTAGCTCAGATAATCCCCAATTAGCATCTTATCATAAACAATGCAATTGGTAATTCTGAAGCAGTGATGATTTTGTGACTCATATTTTGAGATTTATTTTGCTGTTCAAATAATATTTTTTTTATCTAAAGTTTATTTTATTTACCTATACCATTTCCTGCTATGGCTCGAGTTTTTATTCATTAGTGGTAATGTACTTGAGAACCACTGTACATACAGGGAAGATTTATATACTTTACACTCCAGTACATATATATAAATGTCTATTTCCATTTCTCAGCTCAATAAAGGAAATCAGTAGGAACAGACATTCAGTCTGCCCAAATTTCACCTCAACTTTAACTTTAAAAAACTTGTCAGAAATAATGTATGGTATTTATTTGCATATTTGTAGTTTAATTCTGTCATGCCATTACATTGCAATGTTATATAAATAGTTCACACTCAGTACCATCATGTAAAGTATAGGAATTATGTCAAAACCTTTGGAGGTATTGTATGGCATACTGTATGTGTTTTTGAAGAGTCCTTGACTCAGTGTGCTGTGCCTTTTTTTTCAAAGCACAAGATGACTCCTAAATCTCAACCTAAGTCCCGATGTGTCTTTACGTCTGAAGCCTGTGACACGTTTTTCACAACTAACTAGAGCAGGAATAGAAGCAATTAGCCAGTCTTTCTCTATGACACCAAAGAGTATATCTGGGCCTCATTAAAGTATGTCCGTATTGAAAAAATAGTTAAAGTGCCATGAGGGACTGAAAGAGTTCATAGGAATATGTCTCCTCAAAGATAATTAAGTTCACTGCTATAACATGTATTTGCATACGCAGTACCCCATAATTTGTTATACTGTAAAAGTAAAAATATTTGTCCTTCACATATCATTAGAATATATTTTTAGTGTACTGTATGTATCTATTGTTTTACTGAAATATCTCCTGGCAGGGATGGTGATGATTAGAGAGATGTACCATTTTGTGTTCGCCATACCAGCCCGAGGTTGTAAATTAAACAAAGAAGCTTCAGTGCGATCCTTGCATCTTCACCATCATTTTAAACTTTTAAGTTCCAGCTTCCTTTGAAGAGATTAATTTTCTGCCATTCCAATATTCCCCCAAAGAGAAAAACCATCTTCTTTTAGTGTTTTACTTTAAGCATTGATTCTAGCAGCATGTACATAACATAGCATGTACACGGCTGTATACCACAAGCTTGACCTTGCCATTAGAAAATGTCTGTGACTCACATCCAGACATTTCCTGAAAGACACTATAATACTGGCATAGAAAATATGGCTGGGCAAGTGTTTAGTGTAAAAAGTGCCTTTTGTTCCACGTTTTCTGTACATTTGCACTTAATTTTCATTTGTGAACCATCGCTGGTTCATGTTTCAGTGCCTTCACTGATGCTGAAGAAGCTCGTGACATTGGTTTTGTCTTTGCCTTTCAGGATTTTGACTATTTCAGTCAGGTACCCTTGCAGTTTTCTCAGTTCAAGACGTAAAAGAATCAGTTATTTAAATCTGTCAGTGTAGCACCTTTTTTTAAGCCTCGAAATGTATCTGTTCAGTCTTCTCTGCACTGATTCCAGAGCAAGAATATATATTTTCTTCTCATTATATGTATTATATTATTAAATGAGTTAATTCTAGTACATTGTATAATTTTAACATACAGTAAATTACAAAGTTTTAACACTATATCTTAATGTTCAGTTTGCCCTTACCATTGCTATCCTACATACTCTAAAACAGGGGTCAAATCTCCTAATAGGTTTGGGTGGCCTGGTTTGATTAAAATGTGCTTCAAGTAGGCCATACATTCAGTAACATGTATTATCAAAATACTAGCTACATAGTATACATACAAATATCATCTGTGACAGACACAGACAAATATAATCTAATGATATGTGAAGGACATTTTGTTTCTTATAACATTGTACCTCCTATAACAATGCAATAAACTACTCTATAGCATATTTACCTGATGCCATTAAGAGAAATGTACTCTTTACCCTTTGGGTATGGGGATGGTTTTGGTGTTATTAATTGGAATTATTTGAAACATCATTGTGATTATCGTGTACTGTGTAAATCTTTCTAAGTAAATCCCATCCCATGGCTCTGAGTCGTTTCACACGTACGAATAAGGGGGTTAAATCCCTGCTTTAGAAGACTAAAAGGATTTGTTAACATAAACAACTATATCGTTTTTATGTGTCCCACTTTCTGTTTTTAACAAAGTGTTCTGTGTTCAAGCTGAATATCTTTAAACTGTTGCCATCCATCAGCTATTGACTGTACTGTATATCTTCCTTGTCCCATTTTATGTCTCTTAAGCTCTGCCGTGTTCTTTCATAGTCTGCTTTCTTGAAACAGTAAACCTTTTTTTAAGATCTAACAGTGCCATATTAGTTAAACCACCTCTGTGTTCCTCACTCTATTGTGATTGTTAAAAAATAATAACAAAAATAATGTTATCCTGTCAATACATTAATTTACCTAAAGCAGATGTTCCGATAAGCTCAGTAAGGAAGCATGACTGTCCAAGTCTAGCATTTCATCTCCTGACATCCCTGATAGGTCTCAGTCTATGTGAGGGAAGTTGGCATCTCCTATAATAACCACTTTTTCCTTACACATACACCCCCTGATTTCATTATATTAAGATATTAGTCTGAATTTGGTGGTCTGTGTCTTAAGGCTTTGACTTGGTTTTTTTGATTCATGTAACAGAGTAATAATGGGATATGTTCTGATTTGATGCCTCAGTCAAAACATTCTAGCCAAAATGGTGGGAAGTGTGTGAATTATGTTTAATTTCTACTACACATTCTATCCATAGATATTCTTTCATTTGTAATTCAAAGTACTCATTTCATGCGAACTTGCGGGTGTTCAGTTTCAGGCGATGAAAATGTTCGGATTGTAAGTGTGAGATTCCTGGTTGCAATCAGAAGGCCTGGCAGTTCGCAACAAAGGCTGAAGGGAAAATGACTGAGCCAGTTTCAAGAACTTTGACAGAATTTAATATGCCCTGCAGGCTTTGACAAATTAGAAAGTGTGTAAATCAATAGGGTTATACTCTAAGAGGCAATATAGTATTGTACCAGGAACAAGAAAATATTCACATCTGTCCGTCTTCTATAAAGCTGCCTTTTCCTTAAAGTTCAACATCATAACTTGAATCTCCTTGACCTTTAATCGTGATACTTTCAAAAGATTCTTGTTTGCTGGTTGGGCTTTAGTTTGACACATGGCCTTTTAAACGCCAATTTTCATGTTTCTCGTGGCTGCAGCAGAATGCCTGTTCTAACCCCTATACCTTACACTTTACTATGACTACAGCAGACAGGTCTGCGTGGGAATACGCTCTGGCTGTCAAAGCGTCTCTTGTGGTTTGCATATAAAAACAGCTCCTTATATTTTATTGTCTTTTTAACTCCATTTTGCTTGGCTCAGATGCCCCTGTATAGGCATTAAGCAAAACCTACTGTATATGTTAGGCCGTAGGCTTCTGTATTTCCACACTGTTTTGGCCTATGGTCAAAATGTAGCAGGTATTCATTTAACCACTACTTTGTGAATATAACAAGACCTTAGACACTGATTTGTTTTGCTTCAGGGTACATCAGAAAAACCTGGTATACCAGCGGCATAACCAGAGGCCAGATGAATGGGAAACAGGGCATCAGACTTCTGCACGGAACTTTACTAGTACACAATAGAAGAACAGACACACAGAGAGCACTGCTGAATGATTTGAGAAAAATATTTTTACAGCGCTTTCTGTAATGTATAACAATTCTGAATATTCAGTAAATGTTAATAAATGTCTAAAATGTAACAAGAACAGGCAATCACCCATCCTCTTATGGATGTTACTTGTTTGGTTTTAGTGAGCATTAGTAAAGCAGATACCAATAAATCTGCAAATGATTAAATGATATGTAAATATTGGATTAAAAGCCCAATATGCTTAGCAGAAATGCTAAGGATTTCATATGTTTTACATGAAGAATTTCCATCCTATACTCTGTTCTATTGTTGGTTTGTGAATTGGATTATTTTCAGTCAGGCTCCATCCGGGCCGGATCTTCTGAACCCTCCCGGGTTGCTACAGGTGTCGTTAACAAAAGTGTTCCTTTTCCAAATGCAATCTGTAACATCATCTGTTTCAATCAGCTCGCACACAACTGCCTTGCCTTGTGGAATCGCCATCTCTGATTGATTTTGTCTCTGGACACAGTTCTGCAAATAGCAAGTATTAAGTAAATCCAAAGCCACAACTGAAAGCTCCTTTGTAATACAACCATCAGCAACTCAAGCACTTAAAATGCTAAGCACCCCATTACCTCTGTTAAAAATCAGACCTTTCTTTTTTTACCTGTGGTTAACCATAATTTGGCATTAATCTTCCAACAGATTGTTTTTAAAGTTCGTCAACAACTACCAAGGGGCTATGTACTGTAAGAAACAGATGCTTTTGAAACTATAGTATTAGATTAAGATGGTTTTCTGTCCATATAACTGAGTTAAAACATGCATTCTTTTCCTTGAATTGTGAATTATTGCGATTAAAGTAACAAAAATCATTAAAAACTATCCCAATACTTGTGTGGTTCCCTATTTCTGAAGAACTAATATTAATCATCTTTGGCATCATTAGAAAAAATGGCATTGTCTTTTTCATTCACTTGAGTCTTTTTGTTGTGTTATTAACCACAGGCAGAAAACTCGGCCCTGGCTTTGGAAAATGAAAACCAGAGAGAACAGTATGAACGCTGTCTGGACGAGGTAAGTTCAACCCTTAAAAACAGTTATTTAACACTCTCAGTGAGTAGCACTGAGTTCTCTCTTCCTTTCCAGCTGGCTAAGCAGAAAGGAAGACTCTTTATGGGCCTTTTACCTCAATAGAAGGTGCTGGACAACCTGAAGTGTAGCTTGAAGGGAAGAAGGAAAAGGGCTACCAGTTAGCAGGTAGCTGTATTAGCTAGCTTGAGAATGGAGAAAGGAAGAGCTGCTGTAGCAGAAGAATAGCCTGACACAGAAGACAGCTACCACTTGTTGAGCTTAGCTGGATGTGAACTAATTTCGAGCTGAATTGCTGTTAAGAAAATGAATACCATAAGCTACATATGCGTTGGCATTTGTAAGTGGCAATGGTTGAGGGCCAAGACTAACCAGTTGGACTCCAGCCGAAAAGGGTGGTAGAACCCATTATTGTAGCTGTTTTGGCCCTGGCACTAGAGACAGTATGGGGGTGAATGAGAAAGACTGGATTCGATGCAGGGTGCGTCCATGCACTTGCACCTACAGGACAGTGTGGGTGTCAGTAACCAGGGGCTCCTGTGGTGGACAGCAAAAAGAAGGGGATCATCTGTAGGCTTAGATTGCAGGTGCGTTGGACGTTGGAACAGAAAAATGAAGAGAAGAGGGGAGGGAGGAGAATGGAGTGCGCAAGACTAGGAAGAGAGAGAGGGAAGGGGGGAAATACTGCCGTGGAGACAGTTGCCGCAGTTGATCGGAGCGTCCAAGAGGCTTGCTACCGTCAGAAGACCTGAAAGAAAAATGCAGACCATGTGATGGGTACAGAGTCATTTGTTTTGAGTGGAGAATTGGGGCTGAAGAGGCTAGAGCGTCTCTGGTCCTGGATGAATGTAATGAAGTTAAGGTCCCAGCAACCCTGAAAGCAAGACATGTCTCTGTGACAAAACAAGATGCTGAGTGCTGAGGAGGATGTGTGCTGTATGAGAGGGATGTGCTACAGGAAAATATGCTAACCTGCCTCCTGAATTTCTGTAATAACTTATATTATAAACTCCATTAATCATTGGTTATACTATGTATTTTCCATGTTGCTTTCAAATTCAAAACACTTTTTATGAAATGTTGCTTATTGATGCGACACAGAATCCAATGGAAAGTTCCATGTGTCATGCCCCAGCAGAAATTTCCGTTTAAATGCAGAACAATAGTGTAAATCAAAATGCACTCAGCTCTGAAGTAAATCTTGTGAAAGAGTAAGTGACAGAAATGTAGCTCTTTACAATGGTAGAAGACACAAGCAAAGAGGATAAGGTGAAGTGCTTCACTGAAAATTATGCTTTATTTAATAAACATTTTCACAAATGCAAATCCCTTAAGAAAACAAATAGCATCAATGAGTCAGTTCTTCTTGGACATTTTGTACTTTGATTTGCTCAGAGAAACAGAATGTCATACATTGTGTATGCCAATAGTGTCTTTCCATCTATTACATTCCACTGCAAGCTAAGGGGGTATAATGTAAAATTCTGAGAAAAAGTTTGAATTTGAAATGTGTTATTCTCAGTAAAGTAGGACCTGACAATCATTACATTATGTTTTCAAGGTTATACATTTCAAATCCCTTTCTACCCAAGTGCTTGGTATCTAGCGTGTATGCAGCACAGAACAGTGCTGTACTTCACTGCCCTGATGTAGAATATTTTATATACAGTAAGTGTCAGTCCCTTTGTGACCAACAGTACAATTTCTTCTGCAGTTTTTTGTTTGTATGAGTAAATTCACTAATGATCTCAGTGTGATGAAAAATGTTTTTGCTTCAATTTAATCTGAAAATACTTCTCTTAAAGAGTTCTAAGGCAATGAATAAAATGAATGTTCATTCACGGTGTGTGTCAGAGATACTGTAAATTCATGTAATTTAAGATGAAAAATGCTTTCTTTTTCTTGCCCAAAGAACTAAGCTTTGACTTACAAATTAAGGTTTTGCTACTGGGTTCGGCACATAAAATACATTCTGTTCAACGTGCTTTCAGTACTTTATCCACATCTTTTGAACTTTACTAAAGGTCAGAAATACAGAAAAAAATTAATTAATTTTCTTGTTAGCACCTCACGCTTTCTCAATATTTTCTGGTGTAAATGGTGTAAAAGTAAGTTGTAATGTCTACAAAACAACAACAACAAACAACATGTGCTGTTTGACGTATTTACCACTTCAATGTAAAGTAATTACTGGTATTATCTCAGTGTTAATAAAAGAATTGAGTGTTACCTTATCATTTGATGTTTGATTTCCTCATTGTTGGTGCTTGGAACCTTTCTTTTCAGTATTCTAGGAGAGTCGAGGTTACAACAGAAAATTTACATTTACAATTGAAAATACAGTATGATAAACAATCTTGCATTACATTTGTGTACTGTATACTGGATATACTGTACTGTATGTGTACAGTATATCATTCTGCTCATTGCCATAGAAACATTTCTAGCTTCTGTTATGCTTTGCTAAGAAGACAAATTGGAATACAATTTGACTTCAGTGTATTTATTTAGAAAAAATGTGTTTTACCTACCTACTGTTACAGTATATCAAGGACATGAATATTTTTCAGTAATTTACTGATTAAACAGACCCCTGGGCTTTGCTTTTCAGCTTTAAAATTCCAAATCAAATTTCAACAAAAAATAGAATAATTATATTTGGATGTAATATGGTGCAGCAGTTACATAAATTCGTTGTTGTCGATACATTTTGTAAACTTTAAAAGTGGATTTTGTGGGGGTTTCCTTTGATACATACAGTATACTGTACACTGAATATTCATCAAGACGTCTTTGGAGAAAAGTAATGTTCCAATAAGCCAATTTTTTTCTTCAGCCAAGCTGTAGTTATTAACAAAGTGCTACTTACTGCTTAATACTGCTTCTCTCTCTCTCATATCACTACCCAAACTGCCTGGCTAAACAGACAACTATTAAAGTACACCTCCAGTGAAATGCGAGATAAATCAGTGATGCACTTTCATTTTCTTTTAAAATGTACTCTATATTTTTGAATTGGTAAAACAAACCCCCACACACTGAGATTTATTTCTGTATATGCATTAAAACGCAGGTTACAATGTCTGTCCATTCCCTCTTCCCCATGTAAAATCCTCTGAAAGCAAAACACTACCTGTAGCTAACCTTGGCTATGGCCGATGGTGGCAGAATTTCCATCCGTTTCTTAACCGCTTCATCCAATACAGGGTCACAGAAGACCCTATTCCGGCAAGCAATGGACAGGACAGGATGCTAGTCCATTGACAGGGCACACACTGACACCAACACAGACATGCATACACTCACACCAGGCCCAATTTCACCAGACGCCAGTTACTCCACCAGTATGTCCTAATACAAATTCAATGACAAGAATGCGCTGAAACTCCACAGTCAGGATTCCTGCTGCCCTTCTCCCTATATAACATGTAAGCATAATGCTACCTTTGCACGTTCGAAATTCACAGGTGTTTTTGCGTACTTGGGTGTCTGAATACTAATGGACTAATGCATTTATTTTAAAACTGCCTCTTTGAAATGAAGAAATACCTTTTTTAAAACCCTCAATCAGCTTCTTCCAAGGTCAAATGCTGTGCAAGGTTGAGGCTTCTTAATTCTCTGAAATCGCTGAAGTTAACTGAGAAAACACAATCAATAGAAAATAAAAAAAAAATCCAGAGAAGTGCCTCTGGCCAACAGAATTAATAGATTTGTGGATTTTCTGTACTGATTTATATTAATGGTATAACAGCATGTGCCTACATACCAAATGCATATCATATTTACACTTGTGTTTTGCTCTTAATTGATAATGTATTCTGTTTCTATAACAGCATAAATAAAACACCAATCAATGTCTTGTAATCTGATTCAAAGTCAATTATGCTTTGTGGTCTGAATACTGCTCAGATCGCACAGTCAGACTGGTGAAAGCAAGTGTTTTAATTTACAACAGAGCAGATTGCCATCGTTATAAGAGCAACATTTTGTCAATATTGGATCAAGAAACAATTAAACATCATGAAAATCTTCACAGACTAATCTGTTCCACTCCGGTGGTCATGAAGGCCAGTGCAAAGACTTTATTGCAGTCTTTCTACAAAGTTATTAAAACTGCACCTACATGAAAGCAGAGTGCATATCCTTGAAAATGTGTCATTTATTATGTTTTTTTTATGGACAAACTATGTTGCATGTTGTGGTTTGCACACAAGGGTCTATTGACATGATGTAAGTGGTAGAATATAAAATAACACCCTTTACTAGTTGGGCTATTCTTTTTTCTTTGTGTTCCAAAGTTAAAGTAACCCACACCTAGAACAGCACAGAGATGATTCGGATATAATTATTTACAGTATGTAGTAAGGAAACTCAATACATGCATATAATGAAATGTTTTTTTTTCTTCAAGGTGGCAAATCAAGTTGTCCAGGCATTGCTTACTCAAAAGGTTTGTATTTTCTCACATCTTTATGAATTCTGTTCTGTCCCTAGTTACGATCTTCCTAAAGCACAAATCTGTTTATTTGCTACATTTATTCTGAGCTGTTTCACATAGTGTACAGTAGCAAGGATCTGTGGTTTTTGTACTGCTGAGGTTTTAATTGACAAGCTGGAGATGTCTGGTAGTGTTTCTCTGCTGATGTGCTCCTGAAATAAAGTCCATTTTTTTACATTAGTGTAAGGTAATACTGTATATTGTTAACATCTGCTGTTGTATTCTGAAGTAAAATCAAACATTGTAAATTAAAAGATTCAATAACGAGCATGCTCCTTCTTCGAACCTTGTTGTTTTTGTTGTGGCGCGTAAAGCTGGAAAATGTTTGGTGTTCTCTGCATTCCAGGATCTCAGAGAAGAATGCCTGAAGCTGAGGACGAGAGTGTTTGATCTCGAGCAGCAGAATCGAACGTTGAATGTTCTGTTCCAGCAGCGGGTTCAACCAGCCTCTGGTTTGCTGCTTCAGGTAAGTGTTCACTACAGTTCTTCACTTAACCTCCTGGGTGTGGCTTGGATTCTGCTTAACAGCTGGCTGGTGTCACGAAGGAGTTAAATTTCTAAAAATGTAATTAAAATTGAAATTTTATGCATTCTATGGGAATGAAAATTCACAAGACATTTATCTTGGCTGGGTATAGAGTAGAACTACAAGGGCACCTACCTGCAGAATTAATTAATGAGCTCTCTTTCCTTGTTTTTTTTGTGTGAGCTACCTATTTTGTATATTGCATGTGTGTGTGTTGTAAACAAACTGCACTGTTTTCCAAGACCTTTTGTGCTTAAAAAAAGCCTGCCTTCAGCATGTGGAATTATTAGAGGCAAGGGCTTAACAGAGGAAATACTGTACATGTATAATCTACTCACAACTTTTTTCCACAATGCAACATATAACTTGTGAGGCTTTTGAGATATTATACTTCAGGGCCCCTTTACTCCACAGCTCTACTAAAATATTGCTATTTTAATTAAAAATATATGAGAGTTCTGTGACAAACCTCCACTGGAAGCTACGTCTTCAGAGACTAAACTGATTTGTCCACATATCTTCCAACAAGAAGGGCTTTAGGCTTTGCTGATCCTGCCAGCGTGTCACTTATACAGTATAAAGCACGTCTTCACTGTCTCAGAAGTGGCATAACAGTGTCATGTAAAGTGTCTGTGGAAACACAGTTTAGCATTGCTAGGTTTGTCCAAAAGAAAGAAAGATAAGAGATGATGAAAGATGGGGTTAAGTTTGTAGTATCCTTTTTTTTTCCCAAATCAAGATTGACAGCTATATCTGTTTGTGTTGCTACATATAGATTTTTCTTTGCCCTGTTTCTCTCTTCTGCCTTCAAAACCTCGTTATTTCTTTTCAAACCGATGTCAGACACTCTCAGATGAGTGCTGTACGTGACTCAAAGATCTGGAGAGGGGGGCACTATTGATAGCAGATGGATGAGAGGGAGACTGGCGTCACTTTTGAGGGTTGGGAAGTGAGTGGCTGTCATCAGTGTGATTGAAGTCAGGCTGGAAGTGAGTGGTGAAAGGAGAATGAATGAGCCATGAGAGAACTGCTCGCCTTTGATCCGTGTAATCAAAGGGAAGAAAATGAAAATAAAACACATTTTCAGGCAGGAATGCGATCAGAGCTATTGAAAACTAAAACATTAGTTTTTTAAGAAGGAAAGAATGCCTTCTTAAAAATTGTGCGATGGAACACACTGGTCTCATGATTTTGTTTCCAGACCGCACCAGTAACAGAGTGAAATCTTGAATCACAACTGTAGCCTTCACTGCATGATGTACAGTATGTTGCTAAAAGTATGATGAGAGCTTACTAAAGTATACTGTAGGTAAGGATGGTTATGTCTTGAAACACAAAGGTAAAAATAAATGCTGCAGTTTCAGTCCTTACACTATCAAACTTCTTTGTGTTTTGATTTTTTATTTCGTAACATTTTTATTTCTGAGATATTGGCCCAAGACAGTGGTGAGATGGTCAAAGCTAGAAGGCATCCCAGGACTAGGGAATTTGTATTGATCTGCAACAACCATGGAACCAAACACAACTGAGCGCATTATTGATTTTACTTTAGACAACAGATTGTCACAGGCTTGTGCATTTGTACCCTGGTGCAAAATAATAACACATGGATTTTAGGAAAATAAGAATATAAAGGGATACCTTCAAAAGTCATTTATTCCTGTGAATAATGTTCTCCGTTGTTTATCCTAATGAAATCCATCGACACTTTTAACAGCGATGTTTAAGTGAAAACATATCCATTTCCCCATTTCACTCGTTGTCTCTTATTAAATTCACACCTTTAAACTTTTTCAATTACTTTTTAGAAAATGAGGAACAATTTTTTACTCTGAAGCAAGACGATTTGAAAATCACTCTCTGTGTATCTCACTCTTAATGTGGTCATATATTAAAGATTTTTTTAATTAAAAAACATTCTAATGAGACAGAGATATGATCTCCCATTTGGCTGGATGCAATTACAGTATCTTTGGATTTAAATTTGAAATCAATATTAACTATGCTGTACTCCGGAGAATGCTCCTGTGACTAACAGGGATATTCCTAGTTGTTATTGTATGAAGCTGTTATCTCCCATAAGTACAGGTTATTTCGCAGCTCTGAAAAATAATACCCTTATTTATATTTTTTAACATAGGGAAACCATAGTGCATCTGCAACCACAACAGGTGCCTGCATAATTTTAGAGGAATTAATTACAAGTTACTGTCTTAATAATTTATTTTAATTATTGTCTTCAAACATAACTCCACAACATAACATAACTAACAGTCATTTCTGTGTCAGTTTTACAGTTTAAACAGCAACGATGAAAAATTTGACTCTACAATTAAAAAGAATATATATTTGTATTTTATTTGCACTTTTCCAGCCACCATCTGATGGGTATAAGCACAGCAGCTATAAAAAAGTCTCAGGACAGTAGTGGCTGTTATGTGTTTCTCTTTTTGAAGACAATATGTATATTCCTAATGTCTTTTAATCAAATAAACTATTTATAAAAAAGGGTTTTAAGGGTCATGATATAGTTCTCTAAAAACCGCTCTTTCATGTAAAGTGTTTAATACTCAAGTGTATTAAAATGTTAAAATTGTTCATCAAAGCAGACATCTAATAATATTGCATTATTTGTTATCTTCAGCCTAATGGTTTATCGATCTCCCTGCCTTTATATCTTCTCTCAGGATTTAAACTTTAAAGTATTATGAAAAACTGCAGCACAGGTTAATTTGAAAAAGCAAAAATACTTCTCCAGCAGGGGGCACTAGTTTTGTACAGGTAAGCACACAGAAAATATCCATTATACCCTTTATATAACTCAGCTTTAGGGTGAAGAGTTGGCCACAGGGCATGGTTAAATACTACTAAATTAGCTCTAGAAAGTATATTTATTAATGCCTTACCCTTGCAGTTACATTCATTTTGCTTGAGGGCTCAAGATGTGGTCTAATGGTTAATGGATCAGATTATACTGTACTTTAATTTTTTGTCAGAAATATTGGGTCCATAAATGCTTCTTTTGTCGTGGGGTGAAAACTTACAGTGTACTCTCAAAATACCTCATTTAAAGAAAAACGTTTTTGACAATAAAGGAAAATTAGCAATAGTAAATAAAAACGGTTTCTGCAAAAATATACTTGGAGAAAGTGTGCTGATATTTTTTAACGAGTTTAAAATCACTTTAATTTGAGTATCCTAACAACTGAAATAATAATATATAACTAAATAATAAATGTATAACTAAAACAAAGCCTTTTTCTTCAAGGTTATTCAACATATGAATCACTTTGTCTGCAGAATGAAAATAGACAAAGAACATGTTGAGTATTGTCTCCACCAGACTCAGGTTTCCTATTCTCAGTCTTCCAATGACATAGTCAGGCAACGGCAGTAATTAAATTTATCATAAGCCCATAGGGGATTTTGTATTTTCACGATAAAAAAACACAGCACAATTGATATTATAATTAAGGATGAGTTTCAATTGCTGTTGCGTGTGATGTGGCAACCCATCCTTTTTATCTTCTGCATTTGAATTTAATCAGGTATTTGATTAGCTGCATGCAGGTGTGTACTTAAAGTGTCTAATAGTTTCTTATGCTAATGTAGGCTCATTATAAATTACAAGTGCTGCGCATAAAGATTTGGCTGTCAATTACCCTGAGACTGGGTTGTTTTGTCATATTACTGAGCTGTGTGGGTAAGGATGACAGACTATACAGTACCAATTATTTGGGACTTAAAATGTTAACCGAGCAGTTTCAGTTTTAATTGTATGGATAATGGTAAGTTATGTCTCTGTTTTATAATGAAAAGCAGTGTGTTCTATGTGCCGTTTTAGGTTCCTGAAACATGGGAGAATGTTCAGCTATTAATTATATATTCCTAATTTTTGTTTGTTTCAAAACCCTGTGAAGCTTTATACTGTAGAAGCAAACAGAGGCACACTGTTTAAGCAGAGCCTGTAAATGTCCTTGGCTGAATGTATCATATGTTTTTAATGTGCCCATGGCTGTCCCAGATGGCCTGCCCAGTGCATTAATGGCTTGAGTCCTGCCCTGTTCTCTTCCCTATCAAGGCCCTGTGACACTATTGACTGAATCATTGATGACTCTGCTGAGGATGTGTAATACTGTATCTTATGATAAGATCTTCCTACCAAATCCTCTGAAACCAGAAGGTCTTTCACACATTAACTGTTCCTACACCAAATGGCTGTCTGATATAATATAGCAGATGTTAGCAATGTTTGTTCTTTTGGCACAAATTTGAAAAAGATGTTTCTGAATCCTAATATTATTGCAAAATATATTAACAATAAAAATTTAAAACAGATTTAAACAACATACCGCTGACGTTACTGTATAATACAGTACAGTATATATTATACATTAAACTTTATACTACAAATATTGTGAAAAAACACTATAACTGGCAATAAAGTAATTATATTTTATTCTGTTTTTACTTTGTTTCTTTAGGACTTTTTGTTTAATTTTCTGAGTAAAATATCACACAATTAGCAATGTACTATTATCCTAGAGGCACAATTACTGTATGTTCGAAGCACTAAATTTTAAACTAGAAGCTGCAAATTTAAATGACAACTAATTTAATGTGCGTTTAATTAAAACTCCGATTGTAATAAATTTTGCTGAAATAAGTGAAAAATGTTGGCACTGCGGTTAGCTTGAGGCACATGCACAATAATGTAGACTTCACTTTCAAAAGGTCACAGAAGTTCAAATTCGAATGGTGTCAGAGAGGTCAGGGTTGTTTGAAATTCTGAGTGTAGTTAAGCGAGCTTGTCCTTTTGAGGAAATTACCTCATTATCATTAGCAGTTCTGTCTGTAAATTCTAATTACATTTCAAATGACCATCCAAAATCATCCAAGAAAGAATTTGTTGAAATGCTTTGTGTTTCTGTGTTAAGAAA